GATTTGCTCCGCAACAGTTGTGTCTACTGAACCCATGTTATCCCTTCCATCATGCTTCCATCTCTCACACCTATCTATTGTAATTTATTAAAAAAAAGACAGATAAAAACGAAAAGGGACAGACAGTCAATCATTGAGCAAAATTGTCTTTTTTTTACTTTCTTTGTCTTGCTCAACAAAATGATGGAGAGGTGGGCACGTAACTGACGAATTGAGTTTTGGATAAGCCTGTTTTAAAGTCTTCACTTTCGGATAGTTTTATCTTAACATTTTATACGTAACACGGTAATAATTGGTAATGTCGTATGTATATAAACATGCTATACACGTTTGTGTTGTAACAGTTCTTTATTTCTAAACGGTAGAAAATATTTTTACTTACGCAAGAGTGCAAAGAGGGACTGACGGAGCCTGCATGCGTTGCAATAGATCCGCATTCGCTGCGCGCAAGCAGAAAAGCCTACGCTTAGAAATGAATTTTTTTATCTCTTTCACGGTAAATCCATTTTTGGCATATACAACAAGTGATCGGTGATTCTTAGTTTTCACAACGCGTCAGAAGGAGCCCGATCTCCAAGAATCTATTTTTTTTTTTTTTAAGAACTTGAGAAACAAAAAATCTCATAAACAAAATTTCCAGAGATTCCCAAGAGTTGTCTACACAAAGAGAATTAAAAATAGTATTTTATTAATATTTAACTAAATTATTTGCGAAGACCTGAAAATATCTAGAAATCGAAAATTCAAGTCGGCATAATTTCAAATTCTAAAGATTCGAGAAATTACAGCAAAAATTGCAGAAAATTCCAGGATATAATTTTCTCAAAGACAAAAAAAAAAAAGAAAAAAAACTGAAATATAACAGAAAAAATTAAAGATTTTAAAAACATAATTCAAAAAGCCAAATAAAACCCAAATTTGAAATCCATGGCTCCCTACAGATCACGTTAAATATATAACATACCTCCTAAAATCTCGAGAATGCATCCTCATTTTGAGTCCAGCAAACCGTTATTATTTACAATATGCATGTGTACAGATTAAAATCGCTAATCACCTTGTCTTAAACCACGAACTGGTTAGTTATTGAATGAACCTAAAGTCGCAATTGTGAGGTCAGACTAGGAGCAGAGACGACCGAAGATAACGCTTTTCGTTTTCTCTTTTGCACGAGTCTTCTCCTCATCTCCCCTATGCGCTCGTGTTGCATATGTTCGAAGGGGCGACGTACGATAACTTCGACAGTGTATCATTACATCACATTGCATTGGTTGCGTTCAGCAGAGAAATCTAATCACTTACCGCGCTTAATGATTCTTTAATATGATTGATACTTACACTTAAATCCAGCAAAGAACTAAAGACAAGAACCAGAGTTTGATGAGATGGACCCAACACAATAAAACCTGGCAAGTTTTTATTGGACCTACTAAAAAAGCCTATTTAAAAAATCTAAACACCGTCCAAAATTCAATTAAAATTTAATAATAACTACTGCCACGAGGCGCGATAGAACACGTTCAAAATAATAGAAGTTTTCAACGTACAAAGATCGAAGATCCAGTTTATTGTAGAGAAATTTTCAAAAATTTCGATTTTTTCCAAAACCAAAAAATTTCAAACTAGCACAGTTTTTATTCTATAAATCGTAGAGTAAACAAACCAAAATTTAAATTTTTACCTTGTAATACTTATGTAAAATTATTAAAAGCTATGTATGACTTTTTCTTCTGATTTAAATTATTTATCAAATTATAATGTACAAAATTCGTAATTTCTCAAAAATGCTTTTTTTTTAATTTATAAAAATTTATTATAAACAACAAATATTATAAAATCTCATGTTTTTTCTACTTTCAGAAAATTAAAAAAATTATTTTATTTAATTTATTTCTAGTTTTAATTTTCATTCTTCAAATATTAGTTGTAGTAAATATCTATAAATTGTATTAAAACTTTATTTTTATTTTTTTGAGCAAAATAAAAAATCTATACGTAATGAATGTTTAAGAGAGCCACGAAATGACAAGCTGTATAAACATAGCATAAGACTACTGGACGTCTTTTAATCTAATAATTAGTCCAGCGGTGTTATGCCACTACTGCTAATGTCATTTTGTATGTGGTGGCTCTAAGACCTCACACGTAATGAAATTATTTTTTGTCAAAAAAATGGATAAAAAATGATCAGGTTCAAAGATCGATCTGATCAATTTGGCATGGAATGCTTATACAGATATATGTGCGTGTATATATATATTAATCAATAAATAAAATTAAATAAATTAAATTAAAATTAGTTCATAATATAATTATCTATTATATTATATTAAACAGCGAATCTTCTCAATTACACAGCCGACAAAATTTATAAGAAAGGATTTTTATGCGCTGAAAGCGACGTTTAACTTAGAAATGTTCCAACAATATTAAAAATATTTTTTTGATGCTTATAAAAATGTTTCATGCAAACCGCAAACAGAAAATTTTGAAAAAATCGGAAAAAATTGAAATTTTGAAATATAAAACCAAATAATTCGAAAGAAAAAAATCATAAAAAATATTTGACAATTTATACTTATAGTTGTATGTTTCTAAAAATAAATTTAAATCCTTTTTTTTCAAAAGATTAATTTCCGACCATTTGTTCACAAGTTATTGAATTTAAAGCGCCAAAGCAGCCCGCGTGTCACTTATAGTGCGTGATATCCTCTCGAGTCTGACATATAGCCACCTAATACAGAAGCATATTGGAAAAAATTAATAAAGAAGGTACTTCTGGAAAAAACTGTCTTTGCGATTATTTAAAAAAATGGATGGTAATAAAAAAAAACGGACAACGTAGACGTTTTCAACGCATGAAAATCCTATAGGAACATCTTTCAAAGTTCAAAGCACAAGACACTCCCCCCCCCCCCAAATTTTGTCGGCCTGTTATTAGTGGACTATAAAGAATAAAAATGCATAAAACCCAATAAAATCCAGGTTTTTTCAAATCCTGGCAAGAACTAATCATATTAAAGAATCACTAAGCGCTAACTGATTACAGTTTTCTCTGCTGAACGCAGCCATTATATTATAATTTGAGCTCCGATAATGTTTCTTTAAGTTATGTGAACTGTATAGATAGAGAATACAGTCCATTTAATGCTACAAACATGCTTCGAAGCATCTGATTGACCAATCAGAAGAAAGAATTTTGTTGACCAATACTTATACTATTATATTTTTATTATATTGACACTTATAGCATTAAGTGGACTGTAGCAAGAGACGTACTTTACATTGACCTAGTTTACGTCGTGCACTTGATATGAGTACCAAGTAGTATCTTTCTATTGAATTATCTTAACTTCGGCAATACATTACGTGTAAACATATACGTGATATGTGTATTTAATTTTTCATTTTAATGCATACTTAACCGATTTAGTACATCATTCTTTAAATATATTGTTAAAATTAAGATAATTTAATAGAAAGTAACTAGTTAATACGCGTATCGAATGCTCGGTGTAAAAGGGGTTAATAAAGCATAGGTCCATTTAGGGTGCAGTCCTCTTAGCACTACAAATGTTTCGAATTTGAGTGTCCAATCGGAAAAAGAATTTTATTGATTGATCAATCAAAAAATGTTTCAAAGCATTTGTAGTATAAAGACCGTAGCCTTAATTATTTAATGGACGACGCGTATTTTTCTTCTTGCACGCTTATTCACGTTGAGAATTAACGACTAAACAACGACAACGTCTGTTCTGCCTGTCTGCCAGCTCGTTCGCTGCAGCAAGCTCATAGTAAGTAGCAGTTAATAACATCATGTAAGTGTAAGTAGCTCAGTGTCGGTTCGTCGCGAAGACCCCTTCGGTTTTTTTCTTTCTAATAATCTTTAGAGCAAAAAAGAAAATAAAAGAATCATGCATACTTATTCAAAGGCTCGAAGCCTCGAGGACTGAAAGTGACTAGAATTTTTTACATTTCCAAGAGACCAAAGGCCAAAAATTCAAAGACTCTCCTGAAACCGCGCTATCTTTGCGACGATCCAACATTACAATTCATCGCAGTGCTGGATCTTTTAAAAACGATATCTTAGGTACTTCCGACCCCTAGAACAAGTGATCTTTTTGATAGTCGAGAGTTCATTGTGGTGATTCTTTATTAAGACTCCTGAGTAGTCACTTCAGTCATATTGAATCGTGAGATCATAAGCGAGAAATGACACGTTAATTTTTCTTGCATATCATTTGTAAATAAAGAGAATTTGGACGAGACGAAATGATGAAGTCGTTTTAAAATAGTTGTAAGAATGGACAAAGACTCTCCTTATTTTCTCTAATAGTCAGTAAAGAGTCGAAAAAGGCTCGTGAAGTGAAAATAGGCTACGCATGTGCATTGAGTAAAAACGCACTTTACGTGCCTTTTACGACTATTTACTGACTGTCAAGGAAGATAAGGATAGTTTTCGTCCATTTTTACAAGTATTTTAAAGCGATCTCATTTCATTTCATCCAAATTCTCTTTATTTACAAATGGCATGCAAGAAAAATCAACGTGTTGCTTATGACACATTTCTCGCTTATGACGTTACGATTCAATATGGCTGGAGTAAATGCTCAGAAGCCTTAAAAAAATTTTTAATATTTTAGTCTTTAATATTTTAATAAATTATATCTCGTAACGCAAAACAATTCTACAATTTGCAAATATTTTAATGTCGAAAAATAATAAAATGATTGAGTTTTTCATAACTCAATGGGGCAGTATATTATAGTAGCTGTAATATAACAAAAGAAAATACGATCGACGTTGATGCAATCGATTTTTCGAGTAATGCAACATAGCAATGTTGCTTTAATTGAAATATTATACAGAATGATATAAAAATTGAACTTGCTTTTAGCAGAAAAATTTGCAAGGAATTAAGTAACAAAAAGTATATGCAATAGTAAGTAATAATTTTTGAAGACATATTTGATTAAATCATAAGTTGCTAAAAAGTCGAATGAGATGTACGATATCAATGTATAATTTTTAGCAATCATTAACAACTATTTAACGCATAATTCATAAAGATAACTCTTACTGCAGTTCACGATTGATAAAATCTCTAAACTGTTGTATTAAAAAAATTGTTACTCAAAAAAAGTATCACTTGTTATAACTTGTTATTACTTAGTTTTTCGCCAATTTTTCTCTTGTAGTATTTATATACTTAAATTTTTTGCGCACTTTGCATATGCGCTATAATTCACATAAGACTGTATAATCGCGCTATGTGTGCCCATGAAATATAACATACCCTATAACTTTAGTGGAAACGCGCACAGGTAAGAGTATCATAGCCCCTTCTTCCCTTATATACATATACACACCCCCAATGCGATGTAAACATCAGTATTCACGAGCAATTAATTTAGAGCTCCTAATCATTTTTAAAGCGGTTTAGAAAGTGCGCAACGCGTACTTTACACTCTCTCACTCTTGTTTATCTTGCTTTTTTTAAAATCCCTCTCCTTTATCTCTCATTTTCAGACAGCTCAAAGATAGCAGAGTGTAAAAAAGGATACTGTGAGTCCTTGCATGGCTGCTCATATTTGTTAACTTTGTTTATACAAAAGATTTCCTAAATAAAGCTACGTAAATTCGGAGTATTGGACGCGTTTCCGGAATGCATAAATTTGTGTGTGTTCTTTCCCTTCTCTTTCTCTTTTTTCTCAAATTGCTTTCCTTAGAGTGTCTCTCGCTTTTTATTTTCTTCTCTCTTCAAGAACGAAGCGGAAGAGTGCTGGATATTTGCGTTTAATTCGTTTTGTTTACATGAGACACGTGCAATGCACGCATCTGCCGTGGCAGTTTTTTCTTCATCTCTCTGTTCTCTCTATCTCTTCATATCCATCTATTTTATTATTATTATTACTATTATTATTATTGTATGTTGTGAATGTCCAACGTGACAAATATACAAGCTAAACAAAATGCCAGAAATGAAAAACAAGGGAAGCATTTCGAATTGTTGCAAAGATTATAGCTTCCAAATTCTCGGAATATATAGAAACAGCTTTAAAAGATAGTCTTTTGTATCTTCAAATGCCAAATGTAAATTTTTTTATATCTTAATGTAACCATTTAAGTTCCCTTAAAATGTGAGTTGCTGAGTTGTAAAGGTAACATCCAGGTTGAAAACCTTAGGTCGTCCCATGGATTCCTCTGTCTAGGAAACTTTTGCCGACTTTTGGCGACAGACAATCCCAATAGCTCATCATCACATGAATGAAAAAGAATATTCATGCAAAACAATATCAGCGACACAAATAAAATCCTAAAGCACATACACGCGCGCACACAAGTCTTGAACGATGCACGATCTCCGGTCTGTTCACTCGACGAATGACGCGAAACATCGAGGACACGGTTGATCGCTACTGACGGTGGTTATCCCCGAGCGAAAGGTAAGTCCGCGAGGTATCCGGCTCATTCCTCCTCAATAGATTGTACTCTTAGAAGTTGACTAGGACTTAAAGCGGCTGCTAGCTCGAGTCGCTTGAGGTGGACGCACGCGGCTGACGCTTGCCACGCCTTCGGGGGTGCGAGTGGTCCTAGCTGCTGGTAGACGCGATAGGGCTAACTGGGCTCAGGGGACTGCGCCCCGAATCCCTCAGGACACCAGTCAATGTTATTACTAGCTTACGACTACCAGCGTGATCGCGATGTTCACCTAACCAAATGCCCTGCCATGTTCCCAGTGCCAACTTGCCGTCGGTGATTGGGATGCTCAACGATGAGCCCAGGAAACAAGCCTTCACGTGCGCTGGCTGTAAAACATTCAGAAATATTCAGTATCACCTGTTTTTAGTCACCTTATTTATGAATATACAATATGCGCGCGCGCGTGTGTGTGTGTGTGTGCGTGCA